CCCCCAACCTGCCACCCCCTCTGACCCAGCACCTGGAAAGGCAATCTGGCAAGGTCTTTGACAAGAGGTTCAGTGATACAACCTTAGCTGCTACACAGAAACTTCACACTTTGATGGTTGTTGTGGGTTTTTTGGGCTCTTTGGCCGTGTTCTGAAGGTTGTTCTTCCTAACGTTTCGCCAGTCTCTGTGGCCAGCATCTTCAGAGGACCGCAAACAGCCCGAAAAACCCACAACAACCATTAGATCCTGGCCGTGAAAGCCTTCGCGAATACATTCACACTTTGAATTTAATCAGGACACTTTGTTATTTACTATTAGCTCTGCTTGAACAGCATGGTTACCCTTGCTAAAGATACCATAGGATACTAATTTAAATGGGGAAAGCCAGGAGCTGATGCTGGAGGTCTCTCTGAAAGGGCAATCTGGCCCCCGCCTAACAGAGGCCCCTAGTCAACTTGGAAAAAGGTACCCAAACCACACAGGGAGCGGCGAACAGGTGCTGCTTTCTGGATAGCTTGGTCACACTCTGTTGAGTCCTCCTAGGACAGGGGTCTTCCCTGCCACAGTGATGCCCTCACGGATATGGGATCTCACTCAAAACGGGTCTGGCCCTGCGTACAACTGTGCCCAGAACATGCCAGACGTGAGCAGCTTTCACCAGGGACCAGAACCAAACTGCACACGCCTCAGCCCAACAGCTCAATTCATGCATCTATCTCAGTGGCCAGACAGGCGACCCAGAGGGAGGACGCCACAGGGAGAGGCCAAGGGTGGTGGGAAGAGCGACGTTCCCTCGGTTCAAGAGCAGATGACATGGAGATCAACATCAGAGGCCCTTTAAAGAGCCCCAGAGAATTAAGAACGGGAGAGGCCATTGTACAGCAGGAGAGCCAGTGGCAGCAATGGCCTCCCCTCCTCCCCCCGAGACAAGATTTCAGTCTGGCATTGACTAGCTGAAGTTCCCATTGGGAAGAAGAAACATTACGAAAAGCCAGAATGGCAAAGGGACCCTTGGGTTCTACCTGGAAGGTGCCCGATGACTGTCTGTGGTGGAAGGAGCAGCACTCAAGGGCACCCTGGCAACCCACATGCACGCCCTCTGGACAGGAGAGGCAAGCCCACCCCAGCATCTCTTTCCAGAAGGTTCCCAGCGGTCGCTTCTCAAAGGCACAGAACCGTATGCACAGATGTACAGAAACCATGACAAAGACCCACGAATACCCCACCCTGGAGGTCCTCTTCTCCTCCATCGGTGACTAGCAAACCACCGAGAGGGTGCTGAACAGCATGAAGGTCAGGGTCAACAGGCCACAGAGGGCTGTGGACCTTGGAGACCCAGAGAACGGGCTCCAGCACCGTACGTTGTTACCTGCATAGGCCGGTTCCATGTGAGCCTTGATTTCTGGAGTCAGAAGGCGGGAGATCTTCCGCTGCTCCTGGGTGATGAAGTCCTTCAACTCGAGGACAAAGCTGAGCAACTGAGAAGGGGAGAGGAACGCTTTGAGATTCCCAGGCACTCCACAAACCCTCTCCTGTCTTAAGCACAACCTCTGCCCTTGCAAAGGCCACAGCTTGCATCCCCCAGCGAATAACAGGGGCCTTCCACGCAGGGAGGCGTTCCGGGCGGTCAACAGACCCCACGGAGGAGGCCCATGCCTCCAGCAGGCCAGCCCCAAACTCACCCTTGCTCGAGCGGCTTCCGTCTGCTGCACAGAAACGGCGTGGATCGCCTCCACACCCCGGCTCAGTTGCCTTTCAAGATCTTTGAAGAAGGAGTTCAACTTCTCCAAGACACCTTTGCCAAAGTCCTGAATCGACTCGACCAGCCTAAAGCTGCAACAGGGAAGGGAGGAGACGGAAGAGGCCACTGACACGCCTTGGGCCCAGCTCCCTCGGGCGTGCAAGGCCTCAGTTGCTAAAACATGGGTGACTCACAGGCTCCGGCTTACCCAGCCGCCAGTGCTCAGCCTCATTTCACAGCCTGACTGGCTCGCATTCTCTGTGCTCCATGTAAAGTCCTGACGGGCTTCTCTCAAAGTGGTGGAGCTTTCTTTGCCACCTGCCACCCCCTCCCCTCCCCTCCCCACCCCGGGCTCAGTGAGATCGGTCAGCGACTCCGCCACAACTCCATCACACATGCTTTTATGATTTACGGTGCCTCCTTGGTCTTAAACAAAAACCTGATGCACCATCACAACAGTTTTAAGGCCAGGAGGCAGGGTTTTGTTGCTGCAAGAACTGGTCTGCCCCCTCCCAAACTGGGAGGAGGGAAAGGATGGTCTATTAGAAGTGGCATCTGAAGCAGCAGAGATGACAAAAGGGGGAATGGGATCAGCCTAGGCTGTTTCCCCCTCCAAAGTCGCGTCAGAGTGCGAAGACTGAGGAGAAAGCTATCTTGCAAAGAGCTGGGAACACCCCAAGCGGAGAGTGAGAGCATGCAAAAGGATGTTGGAAATATCTCCACCGGAGGCTCTGAGTAAGTTAAAATATCTGTCCATATAAGGAAAACCTCCATGGATCCAAAGAACTACACAGAAAAGAGATAGATATAAAGAGTCAACAAATGGACTTTACCTTAAAAAAAAATCTTACTGTCATGGCAGAAGCGAGCCCCCCACCCCACCCCAGCTTGGATCAGGAGAACAAGAGGAGAGAAGAGAGAAAGGGAGAACGAGGGAGAAAACGACCTTGACACGAAAGGGGATCAATCTAAGATAAAAGCCTTGCTCCCTTCACTCTCTGAAATATCAGTTACTTCAAAACACTGCAGAACCTTTATTGTTGTGACTTGGCGACTCTGAGAACTTACTACCTGGAGGGAAGCTCCACCCCGCTCTTGGATCGGAGATGTGAATAAGACTGAGAAAGAGAAGTAAGCTACAGCCACATCTGCTGACAAAAGGCTTAAACAGTATCATCCCTTCCACCCTGAAGACCAATATAATCGATCCCCTGTCCAGTTCTCTGATTTTGCTGGTTTCAGGACTACCTCTATGCCTCAGCCTGCTGGACAAGGGTCTCTTCAAATTGGGAGATGTCATGACGCACGGCCTGCCTCAAGGCTGAACGCTCAGAGGTCAAGGTTTCCCATTGGTTGAGGTCCATTCTTTTCATATCCCTCTTTAAGGTTTCCCATCTGTGGAGGTCCATTCTTTTCATATCCCTCTTGCAGATCTCCTTGAATCGCAGCTGGGGCCTCCCTCAAATTACAGAAAATAAAAAACCAATTGCCAGAATAGGTGGGACATAAAAAGGAACAGAAGAAAGACTGGAGACCTTGTATACAGAGATGGGAGAAGTGAAATGGGGAAAAAAAGCACGATGAAAATTACTTTGTTAATCTACAAATGAGATCAATGATGTATAAGTGGTTGGTGCCTGAAGGTGTCCTCTTTGAATTCTAGGAACAGGCCCACTATATTGACTCAAAAAGGAAGGCAGAAGATTTTATGAAACAAAGGGGAAGTGGTTGGGCAGGAAAAAAAAGGAGGGAAAAAAGCAGAGGAGAAACTAGAAGAGGAGAAATCAAATGGATCTTCAAGAGCAGAAGCAGAAAGAAGCTCGACTAGAGCTGAAGAGCAAGCGAGAAGCTCTAAAGAAAAGCACACCTACATAAACAAGAGGATCCAGAGGAGGAAAGAAAACCTACCTCAACAATAAAGATGGACTAAATGAATAAAATGGTTAAAGACTGTAGGATATAATGGGTATAAAATGGTAGAAAAATATTAATGATCAAAAATCAAGAACTATTGAAGAAAATGCAGATGAGATGTTTTATAGATGATATATGATTTACAAATTGTATACAATGGCAACAATTTTTTAAAAAGATAATAAAAAAATTTTTTTAAATAGTGTGGGAAACGTAAAACCCCGGAGGGGACTTTTATTATGTTTGGTGGATATACAGGGAATAATTTCTTAATTAGACTCGAAAGATAGCTCGGAAAGCATAGACGAAAGAAGAATGTGAAGGTCCAACGAGGGAAAAGATAGATTAGTCAATAGAGTAATACTGGAAAATCTGCTGTTTTCCTTTTTATCTTTCTTTCCCGTACAATTGTATAAGTTGATGTAAATGTACTATCTCACTCTCTGGAATTTTACCTTTTTTCTATCCATACCTCCCACCCCTAACTCCAAATTCCCTTCCCCCAAATCCTATCCCCACTGGAAATATATATCTACATTAGACAAAAGTTGTAAGGCTGACCCCAAGTTCTGCACTCCTTCCTTACAGGACAACCAGAGCCAATTTCTACTGGCTTCCAAACAAGAACAAAACAGAACGTACCTGAAAACGTGATTCCACGTCACAGCGATGGCCCTGAATATTGGTTCTGCCAGGCACCTATTGAAATCCACATGCTGGTTCTTTAGAGATGGAGAGGTGTAGACCCCATGACGACAGCACGCGGCCCGGTAGGTGGCATGCGGCAGGGAGAAAGGCTGGGAGGGGAGAAGGCGAGAAGAAAAGAGGGGCGCAGAGCTGAGAACCGCAACGGAGACCGCTCGGTTGTCTCACCTGTTCGAGGGGCCCACTTCCAGGGCCATGAGCTACAGGCACTCTGGCAGCCCAGGCGGCGGCTGCAGCCGCCAAGCGAGCGAGCCCCATCAAGGCATCCTCCCACCAGCACTTTCAGAAAGGAGTGGAAGCTATACCAAAGCAGAGGGAGGCAGAGAGGCTTGGCCATGATGGCCGCTTTCCTCCACAAGACCTGAACCACTAAGGCGGAACTAATTAGAATCTTTGGCACAAGCCATGTGGAAAGTAAGAGGAGGAGAGTGCGGCTCATGCTCATGGCCATGAGGTCCAAGCAACTCCCCCCTCCCCTTCCCCCCCCAGGCAGATCTCGCCCTCTATGAAGTTTTTAAGGTCAGGATTTGAGTCAGCCATAGGTCCAACCTCCGACCTGCTTTACTTACATCTGTGGGATACCTTCTCCTCCCCTGAGCACCCCATCTCCAAGCCATTTCTTTAAAAAAGGAGGAGGGAGTTCGATTCAGTGCTGAAACAGGCTTTTGCTACAGCATTCAGGAGAGAAATTTGGGGGGTGGGGATGACTTGCCAATTAGCACCTTGTTAGCACTTTAATACTGATTAGCACTTCCATCTGCCCCACAGCAGTCCTTCTTTGTTTCTTCAAAAGTGCCAACACTACGAAAGCAGCAAAGTGTTCATTTTTTCCCCAAAAGGCTGCTTGTTCTCTTTCCCTCCTGGTTTGCCATGGCTTCCCCTGCTGATTTTCTGTGCCTCAAAAGAATACCAAGAGGTGACGGCATGGAGCATGGGAAATAAAACACAGGCACCGTTGAGACCCGCTTTCAACAAAGGAAGGGAAGATGCTTACAGGCAAGCCCCAGCTCCTGACGATGGCCTCAGACAGCTCTTTGGCCTCAGCGGCCCCCTTCCTGAGGCTGTTGCGGATCAGGACACCAAAGCAGTGCTGAATGTCACAGAGGCTGCGCTCCACGGGCTCCTGGAGGAGAGGGAGGACGCCCTGCAACGCCAGCTGCACCGTCTCCTGGACCTGGGCCTGGTGGGAGCAGTCCTGGAGAGCAAAGGCAAGCAAGCAAGTGAAAGCACACAACACCAGAGGAGGTGAGAAGCAGCCGCCCTGGCCCAGAGCAAAGCAGCCCCCAAGAGGCTCCTCGCCCTCTGGAGAAGCACCACCACCCCCTCCGCTCTTGCCAAACCAGGGGGGAAAACCCTTCTAAGATGTCCACCCACATGCCCAGCGACCCTTTCCCTGCTCCTCCCTCTTTCAGGAGGACACCTGCCCCTTTGGCAGGAAAAACACCATCCACACCTCTCTCAACTACCTCCAAACCTAAAGCCTGCTTTTTTTTTAACCAATGGAATCCTTTATTGTTTTCCTGAATCCTTCACCACCATCACCACCAACCCAACCCACCCTATCCTTACTTTTGCAGCGTCCTGGGAACATAGGGTAGGGTCTTGCAAAGCTCCCCGCAATTCCCCAAAGGCCACAAAATGGTTTTTCACATTGTGTCCACTACCATCCCAAGCCAGTAAACAGGAACACTGGGAGCAGGCATTAATCCATAAAAAGTCCCCAAGTGTTTCACCCACACATTCCTATTGACCAAGGAGAAGCCCCTGCAAACGCCCTCTTCTTTACTGACCTCAGCTCTCTGGCTCATCAGGAAATTGACCATCTGGCCCAGGACACAAGCCACGTCCCTGACGACCTTTTCCGTGGCTACCATGCTGTGCTTCAAAGCAGTGTCGATGGCAAACTTCTTCAGAGCTGGTATTTCTAAATGGAAAGGAAAAAGTTGGTGATGGGTGTTCACAGGTGTGTCCTGCTTATTTGAGCATATGTTATATACAGGAGAAAAAGCCATATTAAAAAGTAGAAAATTGTAATTATCCTGAAAACGATCAGTCGAAGGTTCCTTAAGCACAATTTAAAAGAATATATAACAGCCAAAAACCAAGCTGAGAAGTCTATCATAACACACCATAACAATTATAATAGGGGTCGCGTCTCCAGCCAGCCTAAAAAATGTCTTTCAGGATTGTCCATTATGCCTTCTCTTCCGTCGATGTATTTATTTTTTATATAATTTTGCAATCTATACCATCAATGACATTTCATTTCGCTCCAACACATGGACTTCATACGAATGGCTCATTTATCTGTGCTGAGAGCATTTCTTATTGCTTTTAAGCATCAGGGTCAACATATTTTATTTATTTTTATTTTATTTATTTATTGGACTTATATACTGCCCCATAACGCCACAAGCACTCTCCGGGCGGTTTACAATTTTAATTATACAGGCTACACATTGCCCCCCCAGCAAGCTGGGTACTCATTTTACCGACCTCGGAAGGATGGAAGGCTGAGTCAACCTTGAGCCGGCTACCTGGGATTTGAACCCCAGGTCGTGAGCACAGTTTTAGCTGCAGTACAACGTTTTAACCACTGTGCCACAAGGCTCTTTATAAGCTGCATTTAAGCACCTGTTAGCATAAAAACCAGGACTGTTACCTAACCCCAAATTCATCTCTATACTGTGGAAATATTCCTCTTACAGGCTTTAATGAAAATGTTTTCACTCTCCACTTAGCTTCTTTCTCCGTTTAAGACCAACAGGCCTGTTTTAGCCACCTGCCTTTTGGGCTTTTTTTTTTTTTAATCAAAAGGAGCTTGGCTGGAACTACTGCCAAAACATATGTGATTGATTAGCCTTCTCCAATCATAGGGCTCATCATGAGTAAAAGAAATGATGCCTCTTTTTTTTTTTTCAGTCCTGATGCTAGGAAAGGACTCCGTTTACGTTTTCTTCTTGAGTCCTAAGAAAAACACACAACTCTAGTATAAAATACTTGCCAATTCCCCCCCCCTCCAATTCAGATAACAAAATTCAGATAACAACGGTTCCCTGTCTCTACTCAAGTCTAAGGAAGTCCCGCGGGGCTTAGGAACCTCCTGGCTGACGCATGTTGGACAGGTAAGTGGGAAGTGGTCTACCCTGCTGGGTTGGGTGTAGACCGGGTGACCTCCTGGCCTGCAGCTGCGCTTGACAAGGACTCTCCATGGACCTGAACACACCTGTGTCCTTGGTGTCATGGAAGACTTGAGGCTGGCCATCTCGAAGCAGCTTCCCACCAAGTTTGAGATACTCCGTAGCGCTGACTGTGAAAACCTGGAGCTGCCCCAGCTGGGACTGCGTTTCCCCAAGGCCAGCCGAGTCTGAGCGGCCCAGCTCCCTGCTCTCCTCTGAGTCCTCGTCACTGTCCTCCTCGCCCTCAGGCTCCGCCGCCTTCCTCTTCATCTCCTAAGGCAAAAAGACCCAAACAACATCCACCCCGGATGAGCTGCATGCCGGGCTGCAGAGGAGAAGGATACGCCTGACCCCCCCCCAACCCCAACCCCACCCCCTGGTTCCAGCTACTGCTCACGTACGTGATGGCACAGAGCCCTGAAGGAAGAACTGTGAGCTTTTTTCCCTTTGCAAAGCAGCGGCCAGCAGGTTCTGAGCCAAAGTGCTCCCTCTGCCACGTCAATTGTGTGTGTGTGTGTGCAACTCCTACCTCTAAGCCCGCACTGAAATCCATCAGAATCTGTTTCTTGGAAAACTTATTCCGGGCCTCGACACAAATCAGACTGATGGCACGCAGCTTGGCATCTTTCTTTCTCTGCAAGTCACTGATCTAAGCCGGGAGAAAGTAGGGAGGAACTGAGAACAGAAAGACGTACAGAGAAAACAAAACCCGCAGAGCCCAGGTACTGATTCCAACCATGAAAGGAGGGGTCCCAGATGAGGAGAAACTGAACATTAGGGCGGAGCAAGGCACTTACTTTGAACTCCTTCTCCAAAATGTCATGCTGCCTCTGGAGGCTGATTGGCTGTGGCCTCTGCTCCCCCTGGGCAAGACAGAAACCAGCGTTATGGGTGGGTTTATATCAAAGTCACTGTCCCATTTGAAAGGCCTCTTTTGAGGATGAATATTTCAGCCTCTGAAGACTGGACTTCCTTCCAAATTGAAAAAAAGAAGCAGCAAGCGGGACCAACCATTCCTTTTCAAAATAAGCAAGCCTGGTCTAATGGCTGTTGTGGGTTTTTTTGGGGGGCTCTTTGGCCGTGTTCTGAAGGTTGTTCTTCCTGACGTTTCACCAATCTCTGTGGCCGGCATCTTCAGAGGACTGGAGTAGGAACTCTGTCCATGCTCTGAAGATGCCGGCCACAGACTGGCGAAACGTCAGGAAGAACAACCTTCAGAAGACAGCCAAAGAGCCCGAAAAAACCACAACAACCGTCAGATCCTGGATGTGAAAGCCTTTGCGAAGACTGGTCTTTTCCATTTCTATGAGCTACAGTAGGTCCAGTTTGCCTATTTCTGAACAGGGAGGGGGGAACAGTTTTAAATTTAAAAATCAAAACTTGAAAACCCTTTGCCAAAATGTTCCCAAATTTGGCACAGAGAAAGAGCAAACTAGCTGCTGTATGTGTGCTATATTTGGTGCTGATCCAAAGCCCAGTTACAATTTTTGTTTGATCTGCCCCCTTTCTTAGAATTGCCTTGTAAAACGTTGATCTGCTTGGCTGCGCAATAACATCACACACTATTGTTTCACTATAATAATATTAACATGAGACAGCACATTCACTCTACAAGCAAAAGGCACATCAAAACAGCGTGGAACATTACATGGGGGGTGGGAGAGGGGCTTCCCGGGAGAATCTTCTTTTAATTATTGGCTTTACAAACCTCCTGTTGCAGTTGCTCATAAAGGCTTCTCTTTTCCACTTCAGCCTGCATTCTCTGACCTTCCAGCTCTCTCAGTTCATCTTCAATGGGTTGAATCTCATCTTGCAACTTTAGGTCCCTAAAAGATTCAGGACACTGAATATTTTTCAATTATTTGTATCTTGATTCTTTATTTGTCACTTATTTGTTTCCTACCTCTCCTGCCTTGCTCCTAAGTTGACCTTTAAGGCAACTTACAAAATAATTAAGAAACTATGGCAAATGAAAACAAAGCGGCTGGAATCAAACTGCTAATTTATACTACCGTAGGCGAAAGCATGCAAGTGTTGGTTGCAAGCTGCTGCTCTTTAGCAAGATGCCAGTTGGATTCCCGGGCATGCGCCTGCCAGCACAAGGAGCCATGCACTTGGAAATGTAACTAGCGCCTCATTAGGCAGTAACTGGCTGCCAAAAGAGATAACCCTTAATCAAGTGCAGATGGTTAGGATGCTTCTGGCCAGCAAGTTATAATGCTGGAAACCAATTAATCGTACGGGATTACTAAAAAACCATAAACCAACAGCATACAAACAGTTGAACCTCAACAAAGACAACAAGGAAGAACAGAAGTTGCCTCACTCTGAAGAAAAGACAAGCAGTGGTGGTCACAGCAGCTGCTACAGGCATTCTTATTCTTTCTCCCGCACCCACCCAATTTTATTGGGGTGTGTGTGTGTGCAGGAGTGATTCTTCCTTCTCCATATATTTCTGGGTCTGCTCAGGGGCCCCCAAATTGGAAGTGGCAAAGGAGGCAGTGACACACTCCCTACTCCCAGCGCAATACCACCCCAGGCAACAAGTCTAGCCAACCTATGGGCCAGACTGATCCTGCTGCTTGCTTTTCAGTAGTACAAATGGTGTGACACAACATTTTACACCCTGGCAGGAATAGTGAACTTCCAGTACGCAGGCCAAGTGAGAATTGCATAGGGCAGGGACACCTCCCACTGTTTTCTTCTGTGGTTGCCTCCAACCCTTGATCAGAGGCAACAGACTCTCCGCTGTTTAAAGCCCAGGGAACCTAACGCCCCAAACAGAACGGTGATCAGCAGACTAAAAAGCTGCTGTGCTGGGGTTTACAACTGAGTAGATCTGCACTGAGTTGCACTGGGGGGAAATGGCCAGATTGGCACGAATGGCATGGAGTTGCGCCCCCCCTCCTCTGCTTGGCTTTGGCCCACCCAAGCACCACCTTAGGACCACCCACAGTTAGAATGCACCCCAAGGCTCTTCCCACAACAGAATGGACTGCAAAAAGACAATCAATCAAACAAAACCCCAAACCACCAACCTTGTTTCCAGCCCCGTTCTCACCCGCCTCTGCTTGGCCAATGGAACAGAGAGGCTCAGGTTTCCAGGCTATCCGTCCCTTAAGCACACTCCCCCTTCACCTGCCTCCCCCCCCCGCCCGCGTCCTGCAGTTACCTGACAATGTCGGTAATGTTAAAGCTGTCTGTCTTGGTGCAAACGAAAGCCAGGCTCCCGTAGTGGCCGTCCATGAGCAGCTGCCTGCGCAGGTTTGCCTCCAGCATCTCCTTTGCCGTTTTGTCATCCACCGCCCGGGTGATGCTGGCCACAATCCACACGGCGTGGCAGTCTTTCAGGTACTGGAGGAGGAAGGACAGCCGTGCTCAAGCAAAACAGACCTGCCCGTACAGGACAGACTTTGGCCCTGACTGTGTGGGTGTAAAAGTCTCACCTCTGGGCCTAGGAAAGCAAATGAGTTACACTGGAACCACAGGCCGGTTGGAGAGGAAGAGGAGAAGGAGGAAGAATCCGTGGCCACAAGGGAAAGACACACAGGCTCCTTCCCCAGCTGGCACCCGATCAGAGACCCAGTCCTACCTCTTTGGCTGCTCTGTCCCGGGCGGTGTTGGAATCCCGGATTCCAGGCAAATCCACCAGCACAGCCCCCGTTTTCAACACTTCCGATTTAGCGACACGGATCCTCACACACTTCACGATCGGCCAGAACTCCCCGCCTTTCATCTCGCGCAAATTATCGGTCTGAGAATCAATGTATTTCTCAATTTTTGTACGGAAGACGGCTGCCTAGGAAGAAAGAAGAAAACCCAACTTAATATTCCTCCCCACCCCCCAATGGTGCAAATGAAGAACGCTGGATGAAAACTTTTAACAAGGACAACAGCAACAACATGTCTTTGATATTTGGTGAGTTAAGTCAATTTCCTATTGGAGGGCAGTCTGTCAGGCCCAGTGTGCAAAGCGGCGAGACATGGGCGGGGTGGGGTTGGTGGTGACACCCACTGGGCCCCCCAAACCTCCACTAAAATGTTTCAGAGATCATGTGTTATTATTACACATACAGTATGTAGAGGTTTTCGATGTGGGAAGAAGGAAGTCAGAGGAGAACAGCACCAGCCAGGCCACGCAGCACCCACCACATGCCGGGCTTTTTGCAAACACAAGAGGAACCGGTGAAGGTCCAGGTCCCAGGCCAGCTCTTAAAATAATGGCGACGAATGAGGAAAACGGCGGTTAGCCCTGCCCGCCTTGCCTATTCCCAGCCTGCGCTGCTCGGCGCCGGAATCAGCCTCACGGCTTTGCGCCCATTTCCTCCCCAACAGCCCACGCCGTCGGAGATTAAAGGGCTGTACGATTTCTGGACCCCCCTCCTCCCCTTCCCACACCAGCTGCCACCATCCCTTCTCTCCCCAGCCCTCCATCGCTTGCCGTCTCTGCAGAGAGGTGCTGCACAGTGCCCAGGTGCTGAGTCACGTCCTGGATGTTTTCAAGCTTCTCCAGGTCATCGATTCTCCCGTAGACGGCTTTCACGCGACAGTAGGCGGCCCCAGCTTCCGTCTTGCGATCCGGGCATCGCCTCTTCAAGTGGCCAGATTTGTCCTTCATGTCTTCAAGCAGGGCCTGCAGCTCCTTGTACCACTCCTGCGGGGAGAAGCCAGAGAGAGAGAGAGAGAGAGAGAGAGATTTCCATCCCTGAAGGCCTTTCCATCTACGAGATAAACATTAGAGCTCAATGCAGGTGAACTCAAGTACGCAGGCGCTCTCCATAGGCTACTGACCCTTCCCAACCCAACCACAACTGCTTCCCCCTTCCAGTTTTTGGGGTGTTTTTTTTAAGTGAGAGTCACCCCCCCACCCAATGCCCTCTTTGGCCTGAGACGACTCCAGAGGGCAACAGGAGCCCCCCAGGGCTCTCCCCCCCAAGCTCTGCAGCCACCCACCTGGTGAGAGAGGAATTCCACCTCGGCCTCGTAGGGGCTGCCCCCGACCGCTCTGGAGATCTCCACCACCACAGCCGTGCAGGCCCTCATGGCCGAGGTGGGCAGCACCGCCTCCTCGTCCAGCAGGGCGTTGAGCAAGCAGCTCTTGCCGGCTCCCGTGTTCCCCACCACAGCGATGTGGGTCTGGGGCATCTGGGTTGCCTTTTGGAGGGCCGCCACCTGATCCCTTGGAGGAGGAGAAGAAACAGGAGGGAGGGAACGTCAGCTGGGGACGTGACCGCTCCAGGCTCCCTCGGCTTCACCCTGGCAGGATTCCCATTCCCTGGGGGACCTTCTCGGATTAAACCCACTCTCTCTTCCCCTCGCCCAAAAACCCTATGAGGGTGACCAGCAGCGTATTCAGTAGGAGGCCTTCCACCTCATAGCAGGAGGGAGTGGTCCCCCACCTCTCTGGCCTCCTCCCTCCTGCCAGGCAAGTCCCCCAGCAAGGGTGTGACTTCCAGCAGGCTAAGCGCCAGCCGGCAAACAAACTGACTGGAAGCATGAATTCCTGCTACTTTGGAGGCGCCGAGAGGGAAGATGTCCTTAAGGCTCCACAGCAAGAACTCTCCGCTGAACATCAATCCGGGCTTGCTGAAATTTCCAACATGCCTGCGTCCCACAGCTGAACGCTTGTGCAGGCTGAGTAACCGACCAAGGTTTCGGAAATGGGCAGGCAAACCATTGCTGGTTTTCTTAGGAAAAGGTTGGAAACCTCCTTTCAGGAGGTGACTTTTTGGTGCCAAGAGAGAAGGGGCCTGAGGACACACGATCAAGGAAGGCCAGCTCACCTCCACCCGGGTTTGTGACACAGGAGAAGCCACGACAGAACCTGAACCCATCACAGGCAGGAGAGAAACAGCTTACCTCCACTTCTCCACGTGGCTGTGGTCAAGCCCTTCAGCCCCACCTAAGGTCTGCGAGATCTCGGCCAGCACTGACTGGCACTCCTGCAACTGGAACACCACGTCCTGCTCAGAGGAAGCCCAGCCGCTCGGGACGCTGCTCTCTGCCCCCTTTGCCCCGGGCCAGAAATCCCTCTGGGACGGAGCAGAGGAGCCGCAGGGGGGACGTTCCCTCCGTGGGAGCATACCTCCTTCCTCGGGGCCTAGAGGAGAAGCAGGGCAAACTGTGCCCTCCCTGTTCGAGTCCACAGGCTTGCAGTCCAACGGCCACGGTGCTTCTGCCTCCTTCGTCGGACGAACGGGTGGGTTGTCTCTGCTTCCAGAACCCACAGGATGGGTCGAAGTCCCCGGTGGTCGAGCTGCTGAGACCCCCTGAAGGAGGGGTTTTGGGGGGACGGCGATGGCCGGCAAACAAGCCGTGGAAGATGCTGGGCAAGAGCCAAGGCTGGCAAGCGGCTCATGAGAATCCTCCCACTCCTTCTCTTCTTTGAAGACTGGGGAGGCAGAAGATGCTCCCGCCCACTGATTCCAGGCTGAAGCAGGGGCCTCGATGCAGGCCAGAGAGCTCCGAGCAAGCGCCAGACTTCCAAGCCCACCAGAGACCGGGGCGGCACCAGAGGTCCTCCCCTCCTCTGGGAATCCCCGAGAGGCTCGGGTCGGGTCAGATCTGGCCAGAGGGCTCCACCTAAAAAGGTCATTCCTCAGACGGCCTCCCAAATCCCCTTCTCCGGCGTAATCGGCAACGGTGTGTCGGAAAGAGGGCGGAGGGGAAAGGGAGCGGCCGCTCTCCTTGACCTGCCGTCCCTCCCTTGGCCCATCATCCTCTACTCCTGTGCAGCTGTCCCTCCCCAGAGGGGAGCCGAGGAAAGGCTCTCCATTCAGCAGTCGGGAAGTTTCGGTTTGTGCCGGGCTGTTGCTGAAGGCTGAAGACCACTTTGGCAGGGGAGGTCCCTCCTGTGCGTTCCCACCCGTGGGGGAGCTCGCCTGATCAGAAGAAGCAGGAGGAGGAGACGTCCCTCTGGAGGGAGAAGGAGACCCCCTCCCACGGTCCCCTTCGGGGCAATGGCCTTGGTCAGGAGGCTCTCCTTTCGGGGCCACAGGAGAACGCCCAGCCCCTGGCCATGTGCAGGGTTCCCATGGAGGGCTGGCACGGGATGGGTCACCGGACAACTCGCATTCCATCTCTGTGGAAAGAAACATTTTGCTATCAACATTGTATTCAGATACCCCTTTTTTAATAAATCAGGGGAAAAAATCCACCTCCACCCCCTGGCATTGTTTCTCCTTTTTACACTCCTGTAAAGCACACATACATCCCTCTCACCTGCGCCCCCCAACCCACCCCCGTTTCCCATGTACAGCGACCTTTTGAAAGAACAGAGAATCAGCTGCTCCCACATCTAGTCATACACACAGCAGGGCAGCTGGAGCCAAGAGAACATTACACTAACTTGAGTCCCTTTGATCTTAGAGGCTCTAGATAGAGGATGGCTAAAGAAGCCCTTGAGATTTTCTACTGACTGTAACTACGTACAGCAACCGTAAGTAAAGATACATTTTTTTTCCTACTTAAATGCTTCCAGTGCAATTTTTAACACATAAAGTGCAAGTCACTTTGAAAAGAGTTGGGCTACTGAGAGTTGAACTAGTCTCACACTTTCTTGATGCAGTTGTCGTTTGTACCTGATATGCTGATAACTATAAAAGGAATTAACAAATTAACTAAGGCTGTCATATCCTGGGGCACATCAGGGAGGGAGGGAGGGAGGGAAGAAGGAATGAAGGAGGAAAGGTAGGAAGGGCAAGCAAGATGAGGAGGGGAGCTACCCAGTGCAAACTGCTTTGGCCAGGGGGCCTGAGCCCACCGTCCTGTCAACTCAAGCCCTCATTATCATCTCTGGTCCTGCTGCAAGCACAGACCACTTGCGGCCTTGTCTGTTCACAGCAATTCCCCATCCAGGACTTTGGAGTCCGTCAAGAGAGGTTGCCAAGAGGCAAAGCACCCTCTCTCTACTGGGGTACAGGGCTCCCGGAAAGCCCAGCCATCCAGAGAGGCCCCAGATCAGCACAGCCAGCCGGACATTTCCAGTGGCTGTGCCAAATGGGGTTCTCTTGCCTAGTACAGGCCATTAAACGTTACCTTGACAAGGAGAGTCCGTGGCTTTCCTCTGGGCAGAAGCTGCCTCTTCCATCTGCATCCTGCTCCGGCTGGCCTCATCCTGCTCCTTTTCTCCCGCAATGGAATTCACATAAGGTGGCTCCCCCAGCTCAGAGTCCTCAATGCAGGCAGCTTCCTCAGTGGCGTCAGCCCCGTCCAACATGCCGTCCCCTCGCTGAAGACGGAGGGCGTCACACTCGCCTGGAGTGACGGAGCCATCCGGCTCAGGCTGTGCCTCCTCCGTGAGAGACCAGCGGCTTTCTGGAGACGATGCCGGGGTACCAGAGGGCGTCCTCGAGGCTCCACGGGAAGATTCAGGCAGCGTGTTGATCTCAGCGAGGTCGGAAGCCCCTTCGGGGAGGCCGCCACTCTCCCCTCCAGAAGAATTCCCGTCGCTTGGTTTGCAGGCAGATCCGCTGTGAGCAGCCTCCCCAGAACCGTTGGAGGTGTCAGAGAAGAAACCGTCCAAGGTCTCCCTGCTGGGCTCTGGCGCACGCTCCACACTCAGGGACCGGCTAGGAGAGCCTGGCGGGGAGCTTTCCAGGGCCGAACACACCTTCGTCTGGAAGTGCTCCTCTTGGGAGAAGAAAGCCTCCCAAATGCTTTCTGGACTGTGGCTTTCCGAGCCGTCTCCGTGTTCTCGGGGAGGGCAGCCAGATGGGGAAACGGCAGACAAAGGCTGCCCATCCGAGGAAGAGGCCTGCAACCAGGTACTGCTGCTCGGGTCCTCAGCAGAGAACGGGGGCTCCTCCTGGCGTGTTTCCCCCCTCGTCTCCGGCACACCTGCAGATCTGCTCTCTGAACCCTCACCCGCTTCAACGGGAAGTGCCAGCATTGCTGCTTTTCCACTTCCGTTGCCTGGTTCACTGGAGCAAAAGGTCTTCTCGAAATAATTTCTCACCATTTCTGCCACCATGTCTCTCTTGTGCTGTTCCATTCGGCCCAGATGCAGAGTGACGCGGTCGCTGAGCGGGTCCGGAAACCTCCCCTTTGTTGTGCCAAACAGGTCACCCTTCCTAACTTCTAGAAGAGGAGCGGTCATGGCCAGAGGAGACAGGCCAAATGGCAGCTCCCGTCCCGGATGCAGATCCTGAAGGCAGGGCCTCTTTGGAGAACCAGAATCCTCTCCTCGGTCTGAAACCCTGACCTCCACCTTGTCATCCAGGGGCCTTTTCCTGGAATAAACGCCTTCCGGCTCCTCTTCCTTCTGCAAGATGCCTCCAGGACAGTCCCAGAACTCCTCCCCTTCATTCAACCCGACAGAGGAGGAATCCGAACCCACTTCATATTGGCCTTCGCTTCCGTCACGCCGCCCGGTTTCAACGTCGGGGCACAGGTGTGCCGGGCACTGCCCTTCAGTCTTCTGGGTCCATTCCTCTTTGTCAGACCGAAGGCCAGCTGGCCCTCCCCACCCCGGGGGCTCTTCGCCTCTGCCTCCAGCTTCAAAGGGCACTGGCAACCTCCCCACTCCTAGCTGGCAAGGAGATCTGCCACTCGCAAGGCCACCATCCGGCTCAAGAGCTGAACTGGCATTCTCTGATAATTCACCAGCACCATCCGGGGCTTCTCCCTTTAGGCTACATTTGGCATGGATTTCTGCCAGGCAAGGGGGCTCAGCAGCCAGATGGACAGAAGCTACCGCTGCAAGTCCCCCTCTGTTAGCATACGGATCTTCCCCTTCTTCTGCCGCTCCTCCACGTCTCACGGAAAGAGTTGAATCTCCACCCGCTGCCACCTCTGCCTGGTGGCTCTGAGGTTCAGCAACTGCAGCATCCTCTATGTCGTCAAGTGATTCACTACGGGAGCCGAGGTGCTGCTCTAAAAGCATGCCCGACATCTCCTGGCCCCCAATGCTGCTTCCCTGGACGGCTGCAGTGCACGGAGCTTGGACGGTGGATCCCTCACTTACGTCGCCCCACACGTTGCTGTTCTCAGCCACCCCCCAATCATGCCGCCATCCGCCTGGAGCTTGAGCACCTTGGACGCTCTCTCTGCCAGTGGAATCTTCCTCATCCGTTCCAGAGTCAGGGACATGCGCGTTGCGTTTGCCATGGCCACAGGACTCTGGGACCTCAGCAGAGTCCACCTGGGGCTCCCTCAGAAGGTTTCCTACCCCACTTTCTTCCGCAGCTCCAGCCTTCTCAGAGGCAGCCCTCGGAGCGCCTTCTCGGAGGCTGACCTTTTCCTCCTCCCACTGGGGTCCTTCAGGAGTTCGCCCGAATCCCACGTCTTCTTCCTGGAAGGTTGTATCTTGACAAGCACGTTCCGGTCCGGGAGAGGCGAAACGGTCAACCACCACGTCTGGTTCATGGGCTTCCTCGGGAGCACTGCCTTCCATGAGAGAGGCCTTGGGGCAAAGCACTGGCTTCCCAACCTCGACTCCCTGGGGATTCATCCCCAAGCGACCTTCTGGGGCTTCAGGCTCAGGCCTGTCAGGTTCTGCTTCCAGTTGGTCAACAGGCAAGGGGGGCTCCGGACAGCATTTCAGGTGGGTAGAGTTGCTGGAAGGAGATCCATGAGGCGCATGGAAATCATCCCATAGCCCCATCTGGGAAGGGTTTCCCTCACCACCGCCCTCTGCGTGACCCGAGGAGGCCTCTGCATCCCCTGCACCGCCACCTCCGGCCACCGCAGGCAGTCCTTCTCCATCCTGCCTCTCTCCTTCCTCCTCGGTGCCCACTGGGCGCGCCAAAAGACTGCCATTTTCAGGTCCCCGTTTCCCACCAGCTTCCTCCTTGCTTGTCTGCAAAGGGCACCGTGCCTCGGTGGAAGGAGAATGGCTGGAGCGGGGGATGCCTCCCTCCCCAAAGTCATCTGCAAGCCCTCGGAAAGGAGAACGTTGCCCGGCCGGCCGGCCTGCTGTGCCTGCCAAGGGCCCGGCGGCCTCCTCTTGACGGCATCTTGTGGGGGGGTCTTTGGCAGGGGCACAGAGAGGGCCCTCCCGCAGGCCCCTCGGCCAGCTGTCCCTTCCAGCGGCTTGTTGCTGGGGGCCAGCAGCTCCTGCAGTGCCGGCTTCTTCTGCCTCTTCCTCCGAGTTCTCTTCTCCCTGTAGGTATTCGGTCTCCATTTCCTCCTCACTGCCACTTTCACAGCTGGGCTGACCTTCGGGGGATCCAGCCGCTAACGGGGAATGACCGCCATCCTCACGGACGTCGACCTCCGGCACAGAACCAGCAACATCGCTGTCTTGGTCTTTGTCCTTTCCGTCCCATTTGGGGCCTAAACACTCTGATCTTCTCTCAACTTTGGCCGTCTCCTCCCCCTTTTCTTCAGCGGGAATCTCGCTGTTGCAGGACAGGCTTCCACAGAAGCACCCTTCGCCCGGAACTACCTCAAGGCGTTCAAGCACCGCAGCCGCAAGGGGCTGTTCGGGAATTGCCCCTTTCTGCAGAACAGGCACAGCCAGGGGGTTTGAAGCAGCAGGAAGAACGCTCTCCTGGCCAGAAGGCTCTGAGAGATCTCCCGAAGACATGCTTTCCTGCCTAGCTGTAGCAGATTCCGCTTCTCCTTCTTTGTCAAACTCCTCCTTGGAAGGCTCCTCAGCTGGCAAAGCCACTGGCGGAAGACCAGGTAACACCACACGGGTGCTTAACCCGTCATAACCAAAGCCATCTAGCTTTGTACTTGTGTCCTTTCCTTCTGCACACTCTGAAGTCACGCCATCCAGCCCCCTTTCCTTTCCACGGAGAGACTGAGCCCCCGTTTCTGCGCAAGGGGCTTCTAAAAGGCCGACCCCCGCAGCCTCTCGATTCACAGAGCCCGTCTCTAACTCGGGGCGGTCTGTGTCTCTTGTGCCAGTGTGGCAACCCACAGCTAACAGGTTGGTATCTCCACAAGGCTGGGTTTCCATGTCCTTTTCACCATCAGAGGCACTATCTTGTGAGTTCATAGCACAGTCATCGCTGGCCTTTGGAGTCCCCCAAGACCGGCTCTTTCGTGGTGAAGCGTCACGGGCTCGTTCAGGATCCGATCTGGCCCACCTCACCGAGCCGGGTAAAGACGGGCTCTCTGGCTCTTTGAGGGAAGGACAGTCCCCAGCCATTCTGTCTGATCCGTTGTTCTGCGCACTTCCCGATATTCCTGAGAGGGAGGTCCTTATTTCCTCTGGGACCCTGTGTGCTGCACTGGCGGCCACGTCTGCTCCAGGCACTGCCTGCTCCATAACGCTCCGTGCTTGCTCTTCCCCAGGGCTCTCTCCTTCCATCCTCCACACGGGTGTCCCCTCATCACCCCCCATGGCTTCTCCCTCCTCTTCCACTACCTGCCTCTCAAGCACGCTGTGTTTCTCAACAGGAGGCTCAAGCTGAGCGGTTTCTTCCGGGCTCCGGGAGAAATTCATCTCTCTGATTTTTTCCTCTTGGCCAGAGGAATCAGGAACAAGTTCTTCTTGGCCAGGAGGAGTGGACGCAGGACCAGGTTCGTCTCTGCTCTTCGAAGGGAGGAAGTATGTGGCCTGCGGCAAGCCTTTCGGAAGCCCAGCGGGATCGTTCGGCCTTCCAATCCAAAACCCTTCCTCACAGTCAGCTGCTGCCGATTCCTTCAGGCAAGCAGGGGAAGGCAATGGCGGGCGCAGGTCGGCAGGACCAGTTACTCCAGGACCGCTCTTGCTATCCTCAGGAGGAAACGGCTCACTGGACCCTGGATCTCCTCCTGTCTCTGGCTCGCCGTCACCCTCTGGAGACTCTGAATCACCGGATGGTGGACTTTCCTGGAGCAAAGGGAAGTGTGGCTTCTCAAGGGTTCTTCTTTGGGGACAAGGCTCGGGGGCAACAGGTGACTCTTCACCGAGGACTGGGTAGTCAGGTGAAGTGGAACGCAGAAGCAGAGAGGTGGCAGGGCTCTCCGCACCTCCCAACGGAGGAAAGGATCCTGCTGTGGCTCTGTTCCAGCTGTCGACTCCAGGAGCCACGGAGTTTCCATCAGACCTTGTGGCCAGTGAAGGCGTAACCGGAAGGAATGCTGAAGCCGCCGAGGTTAGCGGTGAAGCCAAAGCGGTGGCCTCAAGACGCAGGCAGCCCCGACGGGCCTCAGGCGTGCTGGTGGGTGGACCCATGGGCAGTGCGTGAGCCGCCTCAGGAGGAGTGAGGTTGTTCCTAAACCCCAGACTCAACCTGCTCAGCTGCGATGCTTCCGTTGACGCCGACGTGGGAGACTGTGTGAGAAAAAGAATCCAGAGATCAGCACGATAAGCCCCCAGAGGTGGTTTTTTTATTTTTTCAGAAACTAAAGCTTTCCAGAAATATTGCCTTTCTGTCTAAAGCTTTCCATTCCAGAGCAGGAGGTCACAGACCCATTCCAGAAGCGCTTCCATCCTGCACCGGAAGTGACGTTCCCCATCCAGGCACAACGGAGACAAAACTCTCTCCCCCATCCCGGATACAAGACACCAAAGGGGAAAACAATCCCACCCGTGCCAGGTCTCTCTCTCTCTCTCTCTCTCTCCCTCTCTCATTCATTAGCAGGATATTTGGCCAAGGCGGCCATGACACCAAGCACCGCATCTTTATCTAGAACGGTCCTCCCTGCCCCGGGCAGAGCAGGAAAACCAAAATATTTTGCATCTCGGGGAAATAGGAACAGCAGCAGAGGATGCCCTTCATCATGTTCGCCACCTTAGCCTCTGCTCCACTGGAGCCACTTGCTGGCAGGCATCCTTAAGGGAACACAAGATGTTTCACCTATGGGGTGGGGAGTGGGGCTTTGTTTGTTTTTACTTTACCTTTTGGAATGAGGTTCTTCTCTCTGCACACAAACGTTGCATCTGTTCAAAAGTGCAATGGCAGCGCTCAAACTGAAAAAGGAACAGAAGATGCAAGGCTAGCAGGACTCAACAGCCAAGAAAGACAGCCCCCCACCCCTGAGGAGAAGGAATTCTTCTCAACCACCTCATTTGCAAATAAATTTCTAGAGCGTAAGAACCTCAGAAGAGCCCTGCCGGAGCAGGCCAAGAGCCCATCTAATCCAGCTTCCTGAATCTCACAATGGCCCCCACCAGATGCCTCTGGGAGCACACAAGACAACTAAAGACCTACCGTATTTGCCAGCGTACAAGATGACTTTTTTGGCCCAAAAATCAGGCCTCCAAGTGGGGGGGGGTCATCCTGTACGCCGGGTGCACTTCACTTGGGCCAGGAAGGCAGGCGGGCAGGCAGGCGGTGGGTCCAGACGGAGGGAGGGAGGGAAGCAGAGCCAGCCATGCCTGAGCGGCCAGAGCCCGCCGCCCCGTGCTGCTGGGCCCGCTCCCCCGCGCACCACCGGAAAGCTGCTTCTCCTTCCCCTCCTTCCGCCGCCAACTTCCCTTTCCTTCTGCCCCCGCAGCTGAGCCAGCTCGCCCGCTCGCCACCGGAGAGCTGCTTCTCCTTCCCGTCCTCCGCCCACCCGCTTTTCTGCCCCCGCAGCTGAGCCAGCTCGCCCACTCGCCTGTGCGCCACCGGAGAGCTGCTTCTCTTTCCCGTCCTCTGCCCACCCGCTCGCCCTTTCCTTCTCGCCCTCATCCTCGCCGGCCATGAACTTCTAGGGCGGGCCCAGGCAGAGCCCCAGGCAGCCGCCGCCGGGACCACAGTAGAGCCGTCCACTCTATATTTTGAGTGGAAATGTTGGGGGGTCGTCTAATACGCCCAGTCGCCTTGTATGGCGGCAAATACGGTATCTCCTGATCCACCTCCCCTGCCTCTGGCCTTTGGTGGTCCCTTCCTCTGAAGCCTGGAGATTATATACACCCCCTCCATCACCTGCACTTCCTTTCTCATCTCTGATTTCAATACTGGCTGTTGCCCAGTCTGGCAAGTTGACTCTAGGCACACCCTGGAGAGAGGGTTTATTGGCAAACTGCTTGCATCGATGCTTGGCACAGCGGGCATAACATTCCTGCAGGTACAAATGTGCCCAGGTGTGTCCATGGGTACCAGCCATCTTTTGGCTAGGCTACAACCATGTCAGCTCCTTGTCAACCTTGTCTTTGCTATTTATTTAACACGTCTATTAGTCGTTCTTCAGCTAAAAGAGGGCTCCAAAGCAGCACACAAAAAGAAAAACAGGCACCAATTTAAAAGCTTAAAAGGATTAAATGGAGCTGCCACTAAAGCCTCAAAGAGGACTGCAGCTCAGACTCAACTCGCCCAGCGGGCAGAAAAAATGCAGGTTGCAACACAGCTATGACTGAAATGGAAAGACCCCCAGGCAGAGGGAGACCGTCCTACCAGGAAGTAAAAGGGAGAGTTCGGCTGCCGGACGCGGACTCCAGGGAGTATGCCCTTCCCATCTGGATGGCCAAAAGTAACGGTGTCTCCTTCCTGCAAGACTACCTTACCTGCAGGCAAAGAAGGTTTTAGAAGATCAGCTCGAAGGGCCTTGTAAAACACAACCCATGGAATTTGATTTATCTATGAGCTCCCCTTCCCGCAGTGTCAGACTCAAAAACAAATGTGTCAGGTGAAGCCCAAGGGCCCAGGCCAGCTGCCCCCCCGCCCCTTTAGTCCATGTCCTCCTCTGAATTCACTGGAATGGTGGATGTGTCAGATTCCCTCCTGCCACAGCCAGCTGCCTTTGGTCACCCTTCTTGGCAAAATTTAAAGGGGAGAAAAGAAAAAGACAGATCTTGTGGAGCTTGAAAGACAGGCAGCCTCGTTTTGGTGTGAGTTCCCACAGAGGCAAATCCACTCCCTTCCGGCCACGGTTCATGCCCTTCTCTGGAAGCTCCGCGGAGGCCACTCACCGCTGATCCGCACGTCGTTGACATACACCCCGCGCAGGCTGGAATCCAGAAGCTCGTACGTCTCACGGGTTCGAATCACACGCGCATGGATCCGGGATATGTAATTCCCTCCTCCTGTGGCACAGCTGAGGAAACAGTCCACAACCTCTCGGCTTTTGCCGATCAGTGTTATCGTCTTTGAAAAACTTTGGAGAGAAAAAAAAACCATTGTTCCAGGACAGGTCCTGACAACAAACCCTCAGAAATGAACACAGGCGAGACTCCCTTTCCTTTTAGAAGAAGGCGAGACAGAGACCCTGCACCCTTACGCTTGAGGCGCCTCAACTGAGAACCTTTCTTTTCACATAAATGAGCCCTGCTTGGCAAAAGACGGCCACAGCTGGGTTAACGAAGGGGATATTTGGGTTTCATAACTGGGCCGTATTATAGGTTTTTATTCTGACTCTTTATGTCTTGTTTATATCACAACAGACCAAGGCTGTGAGGTGCAACAGTTTATGAATCAAACTAAATCAGAAACATCCCAACACAGGAATTAAAAGCAGTAGTGAATGCTTAATAGTCTATTGCACTTAAATAAGAAAAAGACGGTGTAAATACCGTTTTCCCGAAAATAAGACCTAACCTGAAAATAAGCCCTAGTATGATTTTTCAGGATGCGCATCATATAAGCCCTACCCAAAAAATAAGCCCCAGTTAAGTGAAACCCTGCCCTCTACCCTTGTGCAGCAACCAGAAGATAACATGACAGTATTTGAATAAAGGTAGATGGTTATACATGGGGAAAAAAAATAAAACATCACCCTGAAAATAAGCCCTAATGCGTTTTTTGGGAGCAAAAATTAATGTAAGACCCTGTCTTATTTTCAGGGAAACAAGGTAGTAAAACAACTTCGTCCCCAAACATCGCTGGCGGAAGAAACCCCTGACCAATACATTCACATTGGAGGGTTCTGACCTGAGACCCTCATGTTTTATGTTCCATTTTCATTCAGACGAGTAAAACTGGTTCCTTCTCTAGCTGAAAACAATCAAACAGATTTCAAAAATTTGGCCATGACCTGAAGCAAGGCTCTAAGGACAGGGAAGGAACCTGGAGTCCTCCAGGGGTGAAGCAGCTCGGCAGGGGAACACTTTCTACCACAGAGGGTGGCCACAACAAAGCCGGAAAGGTACCGGCGGGGGGGGGGGGGTTTGCACCGGGTTTA